AGAGTGCTTGAGAATAATAATCTTAACTCAGCTGCTGGAAACGTACGGGCGACTGCAGCGTTCAGACGAAGCTGTAGAAGTTCGCTTGCTGGATCCCCTTGAAAAGGCAATGTACGAAATAAGGTTTTCTTCTCAGCCGTCGGCACTTCCGATTTTGGTGGACATTCTTCCATAAACTCATTGATGACCTTCTCGGGGAAGCCATTTTCTTGTAAGGCGTTTTTAATGAGTGCAAGTTCGTCCTACAGTGTCTTTGGACAACATATTCTCCTAGGTCGGATTGTGAGGCAGCGTACTAGGCCTCGTTTCTGACTTAGTGGCACAAAACTGTAGAAATTAGTATATTTCCCTGTCCAGGTATTCCTACGAAATACACTTCTGCTCATTGTTCCATTAGAACTTCTACTAAGAAGGACGTCCAGAAAGGGGAAGCACTGTCTGTCTTCTTTTCTAGAGTGCAGGTTAACGCTGAGTGCACCTGATTCACTTTATCTAAGATAGATAGATAGAGAACTATATTTTGATGATAATATCAACATTTTCAGCATTTGTCAAGCTCAAGTCTTCCGTCTGCTATTATAAATATATCATCCACTTAGCAAGCATAGGATGGAAGGTCTTTTATTATGGGAGAAAGTTTGTTGCTCTCCAGTTTACCCATGAAGGTATGGGCTGATAGATGTCCAAGCGGTGATCCCATCGCTACACCATCGATTTGGCGGTAAAATTGGCCATTAAAGCTTAATTGCACGTTTAAAGTGCAGCGTAAGAGTAATTCCTTTAGGTCTCTGACTGGCATGCCGATTGGAAACTCCTGTTTAGCAATCCCGTCACACAAAAATTATATGATTTCTGTGAGGGGAATGCTAGGGAACAGTGACGCGACATCTTAGGCTAACATCGTTTTCCCATTGAGATTAGCGTTTCTTATGGACTCGAAAAATTCAAACGTGTCCCGTAGGCTATGCAGTGCTATTTGGTGCCAAATCGGTTTCAGCTTTTCTGCCAGCCACTTTACAATTGCATGATATGGTTAATTGCGCATACCAATTATTTGCCGTATTGGAACGTCTGGTTTGCGAAACTTTGCCAAACCATAGAGCCTTGGGGGGACTGTGCCTGTGGGTTTCAGCGCTTCTAAGTCTTGTTCACTAAGGAAACCTCGCCCTTTCAGCATTCGAATACAAATAGTGAGTTAAGATTCTATGCTCTCGGTTTGATCCTTATTCTGTCTTTCACTTTTGAACTTAGTTTTGTCAGCCAGGACTAATTTAATCTTTGAGACGTAAACACATTTATTCCAAAGAACGAGAACAGAAACTTTGTTCGGTTTAGGAATGAATATGTCAGGATTTTGGCGCAAAACATTGAGTTTCTCCTGATGCTCTTTCGTGATATTTCAAATGCTTAGAGGTTAAGTTTTAAGATATTTGCGGATGTACATGATACCGGCCGAAGCAAATGATTGAAAAACGAAACTGGGTAACAAAGTGTAGGAGTTATTTCACAGGTTAAAACGTTTGTACGAGGAGGCAAGAAACTGCACCTTGATGGACTGAACAATGATACTATCGTTATGAGTTTGCATTAAAACAGTCTGGGTAGGTATCTAAACGGATCTTTTGTGCGTCTCCTCATCCTTCTTATGCTCAACGTGCCTAATATCATGGCAGTTGTATGTGCGCGTCCGGTGGTGACTTCAGCAAGAAATAGTTTGACAGATCACTTCAGACGACGCATCGAGCATCATGCAGACCGCGCCATGGAAGGCGTTATGCACAGATTTATTTAACATTTCTTATTAAACTAACTACAACATTTTAGAAGCTCCTTCCTTGTTTCCAAGACATAACCAGCAATGCCCGAATAGACCAGCTGTGATGATTTTAACAAGTGAATCACGCTTGTATACTTACTTGTAACTTTTCGAATACAAGACTGAACCACATGTTCGTGAGTAGAAGAAGATTCAGTCGCTGGGACAACACTTTTATTTGTCTGGTGTTTCGACATCTATCGCGTAATCTTCATCGCAGACATCAGCAGAAAACAGAAGCAGAAACGGGTGCCACATGCACAGGAAGTCGCAGTATTTATGGGATACAGTCATTACAGCACAATTATAACAAGTAACGATAATGAACCCCTTGTGCGTGGATTGCCTGATGACCGGCATGCGGGGTGCGATCTACTAAACTTTCATCACGCGTGGTGGAATTGGACGTGATGATTGTTAGGCAATCTGGTTTACCGGTGTTGGCGTAAGATGATGCGCTGGTCCGTGCGTTCCCCAAGTGGCGACTTGATTTGGCCAGATCGAACCTCAGCACCGAATATGAATTGGGCAGGTCATTGCGCTTGTTTATGGACTGGAGGCCCGTGAACCATGACTCAAATTATTCTCGGCTCACACGATTGTCACCTCTTGCGAGCACTTCGGCCTCATCAAATTTTCGTGTGTGACCGGATTTCGTCAAATGAGCCGCAACTTGAAAATTTTCATCTGTTTGTCGCACTGCTGCCACGTGTTCGGCAATTCGCGTCTTGAGAAGTCTGCCAGTATTTCAGGCGTTTTCACTTTGTCTGCAACCGCACCAGATGCTATATACGACTCCAGTTGTTTCTTGCCGTGGTAGTGGGACTTTCAGTTTCATCATTTGATGCTATATGGTTGCCTACAGCCTGTGTGCGACTCCAACTCCAAGTGGTGTGAAAAGGCGGCCGACGGCCTCCGAGACGTTTTTGATGTACGGGATCGCCCACCAAAATTTGCGGTCGGTAAGTTTCCATTGTCCACCTCATTTGTGCAAACACCGGTTGACGAAGTTTCACGGG